AAAATGAAGAGGTTGGACTAAAAGACCAATGTCATAGGTGCAACATCTACCCCATACAGGGATATTCCCCATCCTCCTCTCACCCTCTTTAAAAGTTAGCGAAGGCCTCCTTGAGGCTTAATTGTTCCAGAGGGCTAAGGCTCAAGCCAATGACTTAGCTTCCTGATGATTCAGGTACAAAGGACTTTCACTGGCTCTTCAGGCCTGACCAAGATTGCTGAGGAGTGCACAACGATGGCAAATGTGGAAGCGTGGAGGTTACACTCATCTCAATTGATGCTCTATCTTTGCTCAACATCCTTTAATTCTTTTTTTTCAAATAAGATTTTATTTTCTCTCTCACATACAATGAAAAAGAAAAACAAAACCCTTATAATAAATACGCATCATCAAGCAAAAGAAACTTCCACGTGAGCCATGTCTAAAAATTTGTGTTTCATTCTGCAAGTCCGTCCTGTCAGGAAGCAAGTGGCATCTTTCAATGTTGGTTGTCTGGAATTATGGTGGGGCACTGCATTTGTCTGAGTTCTTGAGTCTTCAAAGGTGTTCATTTTCATAATTATAGTATAAATTGTGCTTCTCTCCATGCTATTGTTAAATAAACCTTTTGTTAATTGTCAGGAGGTGCGTGAGGTGTTAATTCATCCCAATCTTGAACTTCAACCAATGGACTGGACTGAACCAGGCCCACCTGGAGCAAAATGACCTCCATGGTCTGTGTCAGATTGAAATCTAATAAATCTCTGATCTTACAAGTGACTTGCTCCAAGTCACATAACTAGAGGCTTTGAAGCAGGATTTCAACCCAAGTCTCTCCACTCCAGGCCCAACCTTCTTTTCCTCTACATGATCCTGCCCATGATATAAAATATGAAAATTACATCAAAGGGACAAAACACTCATAGCATTCAAGGGGTTAAAAGAATATTTCCAACTGGGAATATCCGGGAGTGAAATGGACTTTGAAGGAAAGGCAGTATTTGAACAGGTAAAGCAGGTGGGGGTGGGAGAAACATATTCTAGACATGAGGGAAACTCCTGTACTTGAGTGGAATCAGGAAAAGAGGAGAGGACAGATAGGTTTAACTAGGACTGCCAACAGTATTAACCTTAGGATCTGATTCCCTTTTATCATAAATTGCCTTTGGTCCTTTCTTTTGATTAGGACCAGTAACTTTAGGTTGGTCAAAAGACAGCTTATCTCAGCCTACTGTTTCCATCTGTGCTGTTATAGTTCAAGCTTCTCCATTGTACTTCCTTCTGTAACTCCATTGGAGGACTTATTCCCAGATTTCACTTGGTGCTGAAATCACTGCCAATCATCTTGGCCAAAAATCTCCAGGGCCCTTCAAGGTTGAGATACAGGCTCTTGCAATGAGGAACCTAAGTGGAAGAACCAGGCGCCTTCCAGCCTCTGCTTTAAAATCAAAGCAAGAATAGTAAAGGCCAATGCAGGGCCACCATTTGATACATCCTGCTCCTTGTAATGTCTCACATAAACTATAGCATGGCTTCTTCTGTAACCCATTCTCCCCTCTCCTAGGCCTCTCCATCCACACTGCTTTTATTCACCATGACTATCACACACATCTGCTGCCAGATTAACATTTCTGATGAATAACTTTAATTTCAGTTCTTAACTTAGGGCTTGTAAACTTTATATTTCAACAAATCTGGTTTCCTTTGAAATGCTATTTTATTTTATACATTTAAGAACACTGTTCCAAGGTGTCCATGGTTTCACCAGACTGCCAAAGGGGTCCATTTCACAAAAAGGGTTAAGAATGCTTATTCTAATGTCAAATTCCTCCAATGGCTCCCTCTTTCTTTTCTTCTCTTTTTTTTTTTTAGGCAATTGGGGTTAAGTGACTTGCCCATGGTCACACAGCTAGTAACTGTCAAAGTGTTTGGTCTGAGGCTGGATTTGAACTCAGGTCCTCCTGACTTCAGGGCCAGTGCTCTATCCACTGTGCCACCTAGCTGCCCCCCCTTCCCCCTTTCTTTTTAAAATAGAACTCTTTGATATTCAGAGTTCTACACAACCTGATACCACTTACTTTTTCTAGTTACAATTTGTATTCTACAGTCTAGTAAACCATACTCCTTACTCCCGGTCCCTCAAAGACATTTTTCCTTGGTGCATTTACTCATGATGCTTCCCATAGAAATAGCTGTTCTGACACGCTGGATTTCCTGTTGAAGACCTACAACTAATAGAAATGTCAGGTTTTTTTGGAAAGGGGTAGCAGGGCAAATAGGTATGATAGAGATTTCTGAGTTGGAAAGAGGCTTACAAAGCACTTTGAAGTGCTACAGAAATTCTTCCAAGCAAGTAAAACACTGCTGTTACAATAGCTTGGAAGCCACCTTCCTAATCAAAAATGTTCCACCCATCTGCATTGAGGGACTCTTCCCCGAAACCCTTTTGATCACATCTTTAATGGAAATTGGTAAGAGGAAAAGCAGGGGGAAAAACTCCTGCCTGGTAGGCCACAGACCTAGGTTCTGGTCACAGCTCTGCCACTAGTCATACAATTCGAGGTACAGAACATTTTTTTGTGACTTTATTTGTAAAACCAGGCCAGTAGGATTAGATATTATCTAAAATCCTTTCCAACTAAAAAATTCTGGTATTCTATAGATCAGATCTGTTCTACAGTGACAGGCCTTCTGGCCAATATATTTATCTACAGGATTCTGTAAAATGAAGGATATTGGTCCTGATCCAACCCCACCTGTCTACTCTGGGAACGTAGCAGACACTTACGAAATTTCTTCACGCTCCCAGGTAGAAACTTCAATTTTTCAGACTGTGGTTTAACAGGGTGCGTGGTAACCCTGATTCCATCCTCATATTCCACTTCTCTCTTTGCTCTTTCTGACTCTTGCATCTGCTGTTCAATATACCACATAGAGTTTGTCACGGTGTTTCAATCTCTTATAGCTCACGTCACATTACCAGGAGCCATGGAACACATCAGGTGAAAAGTGAAAAAGTTTATTTACTAAATGGCTTTTTCTAGCGATGTGCCTCCAAGGTTACCATGTATCAGCTAAGGAAGCAAAGTTGACGTGCCAGTCAAAGACAGATTTACTTGAAGGAAATGCCACTGACGCAAAGAAAAAAAAAAGGCAGAAAACCCCACAAGCTGAATTGATTTTTGCTTGAAATAAATCCTGGAAAGAGGTTCAGATTACATTGTATTAAGAAATTTCAATAATTTGTAGTACTTAATTTTTTCTTTAATTTAGTTGTACTTGAAACTCAAGGTAAGCATTTGCAATCCACCTTCTCTAATAAAACATTGAATTTAATCCATTATGTTACCATAGTTCTCAAAAATCCATGATTTCACTGGGCCATACACAGACTTTCTGGTTGAAGAAGACCTAGTCAGGGCTGTTCAGCTGCCATAGCCTTTGAAAATCCATCATCTTCTCCATGCCTTGAAGAGGAAACATTAGTAGGGCTTTGCAATCCCATTAGCATTTTTGAAATGTGAAATAAAAACTCTAATAATGAGCAGATCCAGGATGAAAATTGACAGTATTCAAAGCAATTCAATCCTTGCCATGAAATTGTTTAGATGAAGCACAATATTTTAGATGAACCCAATACCTGCACATCAGCCTCAAACATTGTTTGAAGATTAGAGTATGCTTCTTTCTTGCTCCAGAAGATAAATCGCTTCTCATATCTACAGTCATAACTGGGCTACTGTAGCTTTTATCTTCTGTAAAGTCTTTTAAGGTGGCCTCAGGCATAGTCAAGCACTAACATGGAGGGTCTGAGTATTTACTTCATAGACCCACCATTCTCTCAATGTGGGGTACTTCCTTTACTGATGCAGATTACATTAAGAACTGCTGTGACCCCAAATCTCATTCCCCTTGTACTAATTTGGTAGTGGACCTCTGCACTTTATTAGGCTGGTGATGAAGTAGGGGCTATATCACCTTAGAACCAGCCTGGTTTAAAACTACCTCTGTTTTCTTTCTGGCACCATGGGCTAGCAGGATCTGCATTCTGAGTTCAGAGTTGATCTTTTATTACAAGACATTAAACAAGTGAATGGGTTAAAGATTATGGGTGCTATTGACCAAGAACCTAATATCTGTAGGGAAGGTACTTTTTTTTTTTTAAAGCAGAGATGGTGGATTTGGGTTGATCCATGCTTAGGTCAGAGTTATATATGTGAGGCCAGGGCAAGGGTGCAGTATGTGGCCACGGAACAAAATAACATCTCACATGACAATTAAACTTATGACCTGAACCTTACTAACAACACACACTAAACAACTGAGCTCATCAGTCACATGTAACTGAATGCTGAGTGAATTTTTACAAAGTCAGTCAGTGAACATTCATTAAGTGCCTATGATGTGCCAGGCACTATACTAAGCACTAAGGATACAAGTAAGAAAAAGAAAAACAGTCCCTGCTCTCAAGGAGCTCACAAAGAACTATGTACAAACAAGTACAAGGCTTAAAGGAAGCCAACAGGCAGAGATGAGGAGAGACAGCATCCCAGGTATGGGAGACATCTGGAGAAAATGTTGAGTCAAGAGATTTTCTGCAGCTCTCTCCCTTCCAGGCTGAGTCATTGTCTGCCAAAGGGGAGTGAACCTCTCATTCACAGAGGGATGAAACATTCACATATATGTGTACGCTCAAAAATCAAATATGAACACATATGAAATAAAAAAATTTGCATTATCCATGCCTCCTGCTCTTTTCTACTAATGAGCATAATTGGGAATTGTTCACATCTTAAAATGAAGATGTTTTCCTGAATGTATCTTCCCCCCCCCCTCTTTTTTTGGCTAGGCAATGGGGTTAAGTGACTTGCCCAGGGTCACACAGCTAGTTAAGTGTTATGTGTCTGAGGCCGGATTTGAACTCAGGTCCTCCTGAATCCAGGGCTGTTGCTCTATCCACTGCACCACCTAGCTGCCCCATGAATGCATCTTTTGTTAAAGAAAGGAGACAAATGCCATTATTATGAGCAAGATGACTTTTATTTCCATCCTTAATGAAAATCACACCATTACTTAAGAACATTTGAAAAATCTTGAAATAATTTAAACTGAAGGCACAGAAGAACAAACAAAAATATTGAACTATAAGATCTTAAAGGGGAAAAGATATTTTCAATGATGAGAATAAATTATGAACAAGTTTCCATCACCAAACATCATTCTGACCAAAAGCTACAGCCTCTTGTAATACCACCTACTGTGCAAGCCAGATTATACTTCTTGTGATTAAAAAATGCTGAAAAAGATTTAAAAAAACAAAAGATACTAAAGATACATCACCTAGTTCACCCGCAGTTCTTTACATCTGGTGAAGCTTAAGTCAAGATACTGGCTGATAGCTACTCCCCCAAGAGATAATCTATTTTTATAAAACATTTAAAAAATGCAAAGTAGATTACAAAACTATTTTGGGGAGCAGAAAGAAACTCGTTGCATGTCAAATAGAATATCAAAGTATTTCACTATCAGATTGCTTCAAAAGCCAATAATCATGCAACAGTAATATACTGTATGGGGGAGGGGGGGGGAATTCTGCTGTTTCCTGGATATGTATTGACCAGAGCCACCATTAGGATGAATGAGATCGTGGCAATTATTGCAGCCTTCTTTATTGGCTAACAGATTAAAAAAAAATATTTCAAAAGTAACTAGAATAACCAGTGACATGCTACAGATAGCTTATACCCCAGCAATGCAAGTGCTAAACTTGAAAATAAGGTTCATGCTTCACAATGTATATGTAGCAATTTTGAAATACATTCTCTGATAATTAATACCATTCACTACAATACAGAGGTCACTTGTAAATGAGCTCAGGTTCTGAACTAGGTTTCTAATTGAAACTCTTTTTCAAGTATGTATAACATTAACAACATACAGGGTTTTTTTCTTCCAACTTAGCACACCATTTTGTATATATCTTCAAAGGATACCTATGCTGTATAAATGAAAAAAAAAAGTTGATTGTATTTTTATAGTCAGTTAAAAAAGGTTAATGAAATAAATCTCTGGTTCAATATCTGAAAGATTTTAACAACAAAAAACTAATGAACAATTCAAGTACATGGCAGATTTCTCTGGTCTTTTACATTATTTAATTAGTCAGTTTAAGGAATAAATAATGGGAAAAAAACTCATTCAGCACTCAATTAGATTAAAATGAAACGGTCTCTTTCACATAACTGAGGCATATACGCTATTATAATGTAGTTTTCTCTTTAAGAAAGTTCAACTGGGTTTAATTACTTAAGTCACAAAAATGTTTCTTCATAAGATTACTGAAAACTAATATAAACTCTAGAAATTATTATAGCAAAAATGTTTTCATCAAAATTTTCCTATGTAATAAATCATTTTTTTGGGAAAGTAACCTATTAAAGGTTTGGGTTTTTTTTTGTTTTTGCTTAAATGCAACGTCTACTAACAACTAAACTTATACTTACTTGTCAATTTCTTTTTCACTAGTAAGCATAATATTTCCTAATTATTTTCTACTATTCCAAATATTGCACATTATAAAAAACTCTTTAGTATTATTAGGCCTGTACCTTCTTCATTCTGAACACCAACAGACTGAAGTAGAAATAAGTGGGACTAGAAATCCACTTAATGAATAAGACAGGTCTTTGAAATGTTGGCACCAGTGAAACTAGGAACTGGTGTTGACAAAAATTAAAAGTATGTCCCTTCACAATACTGATTCTGACAAATGACAGAGCATCTATATTTTGTTAAGGATGACTGATGTGAGTCTTCACCACAAAGAAGGATAAATAGCTTATATGTTACAATTTAATTTTTAAAATAGCAAAAAGAGAAACCAAAAATCATATGACTCAACTGGCTCTGTCCAACTCTGGGAAGGTTTCATTCACAATTATAGGCCACAACCCTACACTTGAGTGGGAATTTTTAGAAAATAAACCTAAAGATCAGATAAAACCTAAAGGTCAGTGAAACTAGTGTTTTAAAGCTGAAAGACAAACGTGGGAAGGTGAAGTAAGTCCTTTAAATTAAAATAAAAAATAAATGAAAATCATCCAAATTAGGAGTTTTGCGCCTTATCACCAGCTGGGGCAGTAACTTAGGGGGGAAAAAAAATCACAAATACAAAGGAAAGGTTTTCTTTAGAAATTCTGAGAATGGAAGATTCCTGAAGTAGAACTAATGTCACAAATCTATACGAGGCTTCCAGGCCAACAAATAACTGTCAGAGTAACCTTGTTCCTTTGCTCCTTCAGCATGGGAACGAGAGCTGAATGGCTCATGCCCAGAGTAGATAGCCCATTCACAGCAATGATCATGTCACCACACCTGGACAAACAAACAAAACATACCCAATATTACCAACAGGACTTTAGCACTGGACATCTATTAGATAATCATCCAGCCTGTTCTTCTGTAAGGAAAAGCTATAAAGGCATGTCTCAGTTGGACTGGTCAAAAAAATACAATTAATTTGGCAAACATGACAGACAAGGCATTGTGGTATATACTGTGGAAGATACAAAGAGAAATAGGATCATTATTTTCTGCTTATTTTAAAATCAGTCTAGGGGAATTTTCACAAGGACCTGACAGTTCTATTGTATTCACTGTGGTATAATAGAATGAGTACTGTATTTAGTCTAAGCACCTGGGTTCAAGTCCCAGCTGTGCCACTCAGTGTGTGTCCTTGAGCAAGTCAACCTCTCAGAGCTCAGTTTCTCAGCTGCAAAATAAAGGAGGAGCTGGACTAGATGACTCCCCAGATCCCTTCCAGCTCCAAACTCAGAATCCTACAACATAATTCCAAACACAACCTAGAGAACAACATCTGGCATACCTAAGGGCTGACTGGTGGCAGTGATCAAGACCCAAAGGGGTCTGTGATGAAGGACTGTTAAGGAGAGAATAAAGAAAATCTCAAGTAAGACTGCATGGTTTGGCTGCTAATACTGTTAGCATTCCTACCTGAGATCATTTATTATTTTTTTTTAAAGATGGGCCAGCTGTGCCATTTTACATAAACCTAAAGACTTGGCCCTGAATAAATCAAAATTAGTTTATATAAGCAAATACAAATGGTTATCCGGTTTGTACAATATATATATATATATATATATATATGGCAAAATTTTAGGCCTTGAGCTCTAAAGTATTTCTGTGCCAGCTCTTCCTACTTCTGACAAGTGTATTCTCAAGGAAAGGAGAACAATTTTAATATAACTTAAACAAAATCCAACTAGGGAAGTAAATCTGCTACTTCTAAATTTTCAGAAGGGTGACTCTTCTTGACAAGGCTAATCCCTTTACTTGTACTCCTGAACTCATCATCAACTTTCTCCAATGAGACTTTGTTCTAATCAATCATCAATCTTTTGCATCTTCAATCTTTTCCTTCCTTACTGGATCCTTTCCCCTCATACTACAAATATACTAAGGTCTCCATTATCATAAGAGAGTTTGGTAGCTTGAATGGGGGATATCAATGTCAAGGCATATCTTTGGGTATGTCATACCCTTAACATTGATATCCCCCATTCAAACTACCAAACTCTCTTCTCTAGTCTATTTCTATTAAGTAGTCTGTGCTTGCTGCATTGACTTCCTTACCCACCCATGTATATTCCTCAACCCTTTGCAATTTGGCTTCTGGCTCCAGCAATCTACTGAATTCACCTTCTTTGGGGGCATCAGTGATCTCCTTATTGCCAAATCTGAGAAGTTTTCATTTCAGCCCTCATCTATTCATGAAAACTTTTACTGAGTGCCTACACTCTATGTAAGGCACAGTGTAATCACAATTAGCAGTCATGAAAATGCTAACTATGGAAATGCTAGGTTCATTTTCTTCCCTCAAACCTTTACCTATGTCAACAGAAGACTGCCAATGTAAATGAACTTTGCTATTAATCTTATTTATCATTTTCTAACAATATTTAACTGTCAGTATAAGTTTAAAATTTATTTTTAAAAAAGTAGTTGCTACATTGGGTAAGTCACTTAACCCCCAATTATGTCTGTCACACACTCACTCACACACACACACACACACACACACACACACACACACACATGCACACGCAGACGCACGCAGTTGTTACTAAAAAAAATATGGCTTTGGGAACTAGCTTCCATTCATCACTATCTCCTGTATGATAAATAATAAACTAAAGGACAATTTCCTGCCTCCCCCTCAGCTGCTGATTCCAGCTGAGAACAGTGAGGAAGCTCTTAATAGCTGGGCTGTGACGTCACAGCCCTCAAATCATCTGTTAGCACTAAGGTACTATTGTTTTCTCTAATGTGACTAGCCCTAATCCAGTCTTGCTTACTGAGTAACTGCATCCAGTTCTTTGGATCAACTTAAACACTAACCAAACACATTATAATGTATCTTTTATTAGAATATATAAAGATCAGTAACCATTTTCTGGACTCACTTTAATCTTCCATCATAGTAAGCTGGGGTTCCAAGGACGATTGTTTTAATGAAAAAAGGTTGATTTGTGTGGTTTTCTTCATATCCGCCAACAATACTAAAGCCCCAACTTCCCAAGTTGCTTCTTCGTAGGACAACATCATGGAAGCTATGAAGAACACTGTTAAAGAATAATACAGGGAACAAAATTAAATTTATGGGGATGTATTTATTCTTTTTTAACAACTTACTGATATCTCTTGTTTTTATGTGACCTATGGTTCCCAACATACGCCTCTCCTTTCCCTGCCACAATAAAGTTCACTTCTTTTTTCTTTTCTTTTTTTTTTTTAGGCTAGGCAATGGGTTAAGTGACTTGCCCAGGGTCACACAGCTAAGTAAGTGTTATGTGTCTGCAGCCGGATTCGAACTCAGGACCTCCTGGATCCAGGGCCGGTACTCTATCCACTGTGCCACCTAGCTGCCCCCTAAAGTTCACTTTTAAATAAGTACATTGCATAATTCTTGTCAAAATATCATCATATATTATACTTGAAATTTATGAAAGGAAAAAGGGGAATGGTTACTTTAGCTCATCCAGTAAATATCACCCTGAGTGCAACATTATTTTAACAATCTAATTTTTAGTACAGATGTAGTTACTGGATTAACAATAACTCCTCTACCTATTTTTCCTCTCAAAAAAGAAAAAAGATTATAGATATAAAAATACAAAGGATATTTTTTCTGTCACATTTTTAAATTGGTGTTCTCAACAAGCCACTTCTAATAATCTTTTATTTCTAAATGATTTAAAAACTACTGTGGGAGAACTCTAGCAGGTCTATCTCTAAATAAGTTATAATTAAAATGAGATATTTATATTCTGAGAGCTGGCCCTAGTGTAAAAAAAAAACCAAATGAAGAAAATATAACATAGCTTTTAAACTCCAAATATAAAGATGTTGCTGTAGTTTAAAAATCAATTAGAAAAACTCCCACCATATGCCTCCACTTTAATTTTTCAGCAGGGATTTTCTAGAGAAATGCTTTCACAGTCAACCTAGTAAAAGAAACCTCCCTATTGCCCTACAGTTTTTTTTTTTGGGGGGGGAAGGGGGAGAGAATGAGTGAGGGAAAGGGAATTTAAGTCCAGAAGGAAGAAATCATTGGAACTTTTCTCCCTTTACATCATTACATGTATAATTTTGGAATTCTGTTGTAAATTTTGAGCATGCTGCTTAGGAAGAAGGGAAATCCCACTTACTCTTCCATTAATGTATTGTTAAAAAAAATTATATAACATTCAGTCCCCCATCCTCAAAAATAAATCCCCACTCTAAATAGCCCACAATTGATCATCCAGCCTTTCCTTGAAGACCTCCAATGAAGGGGAATCCAAGATCTCCCAAGGTAATGCATTCTACTTCTACAGAGCTCTAATCGTTAGAAAGTTTTGCTTGATATCAGACCTTCGTTGCCCTCTTTGCAACTTCCATCCATTGATTTCGGTTCTGCCCTCTTCTGCTAAAGAGAACAAGTCTGCTTCTTCTTTCATGTAAAAACCTTTCAAATACCTGAAAACAGTTATCCTGCATCTCCTGTCCCTTGAGTATTCTATTCTCCAGGCTAAATAGACCTTTTCTTTCAATTGCTTCTTATATGATCTGACAGGGCCCTTGGACATCTTGGATGCTTCCCCTCTTGAAGCTTTTCAGCTCATTGATGTCTCTACTAAACTGGTGTCCAGAAATGAACGTAATACTGTGAGCTGACTAAGGACAAGTCAGAGACACCCACATCTCCTTATTCCTGGGATTTACACTTCTCATAATGAAACTCAAGACCCCATTAGCTTCTTTGGCTGCTATCTACCCACAGAATGTACTTGTGAAGATGATTTTTGGAAGGCTTCATATTCCCTGCTGAACTTCACCTTGTTACTAGCCCAGTGCTGTAGACTGTCTAGATCTTATTGGATCCTGACTGTGTATTTTTCCTTGCCCAGTGTCACTGGCCAATCTCTGCCTTTATCAAAGTCCCTGATAAAAATGTCAAACAGCACAGATCCCTGGGGCTCTCTACTGGAAACCTCCAGCCAGCCTGACAGAGAATTACAGATGACTGTTCTTGGATGTTGGCCATCCAGTCAATTCTAAATCCATCTAATTATATCATTATCTAATTCACATCTCCCCATCTTCTCCACAGAATAGTATCAGATGCTTTAAAAAAGTTTTGCTAAAGTTGATATAAACTTTATAGTATGCCCTTGATCTACTAGTTTAGTAACTGTCAAAAAAGAAAGAAAAAAAAGAATAGCCTAGGCCAACCTGTTCTTGATATTGCTGTTATGATTCTTGATAATTACTACTTCCTTTTCTAGATGTTCAATAACCATCTCCTGACCCTTTCTATCTAGTATCAACCTAGCAACATGTATTATGTCACAGGTACTGTACTAGGAGCTAGAGATACAAGTACAAAGAATGAAGCAATCCTACTTGTAAAGAGCTACATTCTAATGGGAGAGAACAAATATATAATATTATTTTTATATGTACATGTGTGTATATGCATACACATGTAATATCTATGTATAGATACATATATATCTATAATTATCTCCTGTTAATAAATACAAATATATACCAAGCAGTCAAATTCAAGATAGGATGGGGGCAGGTGAGGCACTAGAACTTAGAGAGGAATCAGGAAAAATACATTTTCATGTAGAAGATGGTGTCTGATCTGTATTTAAAGGAAGAGAGGGACTTTCTGAGGCAGAGGAATAGAAGGAGGATATTCCAAGCATGGGGGAAAGTCAGAGCAAACCATGTCCTTTCCAATGTCCCTGACAGTAGTTCAGAGATCTCATCTAGTTTTTTCAGTTACTCTTTTAGTGCCAGAGAACGAAGTTCATCTGGGCTGATGAGCTGAATTAATAAAGGGCAACCAGGACTATCTTGGGTAGCCCTGGTTTTTTCCTGTCACTTCTGGTGCAAAGGTTATTTTTCTTGGCAGAGTAAAAATAAGCAGAAGAAGATGAGAAGGGCTCTACTTCTTCTATGTGGCCAGTCATTCCCATCTTGTCCACGCCCAGTTGCAGTCTTATCTCTTCTTTGATCCTTGCTTCCCCTCAAATACCTAAAAAAACCATACCAAATCTATCTCCCTTTTGTTATCTTCTGCTTCCCTGGAAAACCTGAGCTCATTAGCATTCTGAGCATCATTTCCCCAGGGCTGTACCCAAATGGACAGTAAAGGAAGAAAAAGAAGATAGTTCTGAAGGACAGAGAAACATTTATTTTTCAGATTCCTTTAAAAAAAATGAAATTGTCTGTCCTAAGGTAGAGGTTCTTTAAACTTCTGTTTTTAATAATCAAAAGGTGCTCCTTAATACTGCTGACCCTACAAGGAAATGTTACCTTATGATAACCACTCTAGTCTAACTAATCTCATTCTCTGGCACACAAGGCTTTAGAAAGGGGCACTGAGCTAGGCTAAGGGTTTGGGTGAGAACACCAGATCCTTTTTCATTAGTCTGAATCCACTGGTGTGACAGAGTCCAAGGACTCCGATCCCTCATTCACTTGCAGTGGAAGGACTTTCAGGAAGAGTGGAGATGTGTGAAACCTTATGGAAACCACCTGCATTTTCTTTTGACAGACTGTCTTTGACTTCAAGTTTTTTATAGAACGGAGAAACAGTTGTGATTTTACACACATAAAAAAGTATTCTCCCAATGTACATGGTTTTCTAGATAGATAATATTTATAAAGTGCTTCACAAAACCTAATGCCCTATATGAATGCTAGTTACTCCTGTTCTCATCATTATTATCTTCTAGATAGGAAAGAAATGCATTGTATAGTGAAGCCAAAAAACTTTAAGTGCAAAATACTTCTGTCAAACCAGAAAAGGCCTGGTCTCAAGGGTATAGTAAGGTGCAAAACTGCTGACCAAATATGTAAGACTGTTAACAGATTAATATTTTACTGAGCATATTTTTAGGCAGTAGTGGAGACTATGAAGAGTTGTCATGTTTCTGAAAGAATCCCTAGAGGACACGGATGGCTCCCACAGTAAATGGAGTGGAAGAGCACTGTAGAGGTACACAGAATTTAGGAAGGAGAAAAGTATCCCTCAACTACAAGTCCCATTTCTCAAACTTCCCTATTTCTGTCAAAGTGCCACTCTCCTTCCAATCTCTCAAGTTTCTAATCTCAGCATTAGCCTCACCTCACAGATCCAGCGACAACTGCCTTTTCTACTTCGTATATTTCTCCTATCTGGTCCTGTCTCTCCTCTCTCACAGCTGTTGCCTACCTCAAACACATCACTTCTCCCCCTGCTATTACTGTACCAGCCTCCTCATTGTGATCCCTGACTCAAATCTCTCAAGCAGAATCAGGGGGATGATACTTGCTGATCCCCAAGGTAAGGTTTCTATCTTTTTCTGGAAAAAGGCATGGAAGGGCTCTAGGCCAGGATTTCAGTGGAGTCAGAAGTTGGAAGAGGCAGTTACTACAACCAGACAGTGAAGCAGCATATAATGAGGACAGAGACCAAGGCCTGTGGGAGCAATGCAAGCAAGTACATCAATGGCCCAGCAGCATTGTAGGGGTGAATGGCCTCTTCACTGGTGAGCTGTAGTTTTAAGAATGTAGATGCACAGAGCCCTAGTTTCTGTAGAGACCATGCCTTGAACATGGGGGAATCTCCACTGAGATCCCCCAGGGAACCCAACCTGCAAGAACAACTTGTCAGAGTAGTCCAGGAGCTCAGAAGGTTCCATATGCACTAAAATATTCCCAACAGTCCTTTCTGTGGCAGTGAAGAACTGAAAATGAAATAGATGCCTATCAAATGGCTAAAGAAATTGTGGCACATGAATGTAATGGAATTATTATTGCACTGGAAGAAATGATGAGTATAAAGAATTCAGAGAAGCATAAGAAGACTTACATGACCTGATGCAGAATGAAATTAGCAGAACCAGGAAGGCAATATAAACAATGATTAAAACAAAATAAATAGATACAACAACTACAACAGAATCTTGAATGCTATGTAATTATAATGCCAAAGACTAGAAATGAAAACAACTTTGTCAAGGCAGAAGATAATGGGTATGGACTACACCCTGTAATGTCAGATTTAACTGATGTGGGAGGGAGTTTTGCTTTAACTTACTATTTATTTTTCTACTATTAATAATAAATTAATAATAATAATATACTATTTATTTTTGTTACAAGACATAGCACATTGAGTGAGAGGAGAGTTATAATTTGAAATAAAGGTGATATAAAAACAAAAGATAATAAAAATTTTGAAACAATCTGAACTTTGTAAGTCTAACAGTATTAGGATATATCATGTTCTAAGTTTTACATCTGTAGTATGTTATTTAAGTACTTTGGAGAAGGAATGAATTATGTCTTTCCAATTAAAGAAACAATAATGTAACAAGCAAATAAAATGATCAGTACCTTGGAAGTCCAAGCCACATGATCCATGATGGTGACCAACTGGCATCATACTCATTTTCACTGATTGTACTTGGCTGCTCTTCATTAGCCTGGGTCTGTTCTTCAACAATCTGGACTTCTAGTGCTTTGAGAGTGACAGCTGGAGAAGCAGCACTGGCTTTCAACACAGCAACTGCCTCACTATGACTTAAATCAGTCAAGTCAATGCCATTGATGTTCAGCAACACATCACCTATTGAGAAGTACAAGCAAGAAAATGCTTAGGAAATTCAGCCTGGATTTACATGGCAATAAGGAATGACAAGGGAATTAATCAATACAGAAGTTACTTCCCATAACCAATACCTGAAAAGCCCATTTGTAGTTTCTTGATAATTTTAAAGCATTCATGAGTAATCATATTTATGCAACACTGATGGCAATAATTATCTTTATTTAAAAGAGAAATTTTACTTGAAGCGTAAGGTAAAAGACAACACACAGTCCTACCATTCCCAAAACCAATTTTTGAAAACACGAATTACAAAAATAACAAACTTCATTAGCATATTTTAGGACACTGAGAAGAAATATAAGCTATGGAAAAGAACACTTAAGAAAAACTGAATCAGCGTAGTAAAGATGAAAATGTAATAGACTGGGCATCAGAGCTGTGTGAACTTGGACAAGTTGCTTAATTTCTTTGGGACTCATTTTTCTCCTCTATAGATTGAGGTAATTGCATTAGAAGGTCCCTAACACATCTTTCAGCTCTAAAATCCTTTTATTCTTTGAAGTGTATTTTTACTACAATACATTTCAAGTTTATACTTTCTATCAACAGAGCCTTACAAGGTACATATGGAAGCTGAAACAAAGCAAGACTGACTAAAGATTATTGGAAATACCTTTCTGTCCAAACACAATTAAGATTTGTTATTTGGATATCTTCTCGCCTATAATATGAAGAGTTTCTTGTTTGTGGACTTGATTTGCACACAAACATTTTAAAAAAGGAGAATGAGGGTTGGATAAAAGACTAGGAAGGCAAAGGATTAGTCTTGAGGGAAAAACTAATATCTATTTAACTGTTAACAAGGACTTACATTTTATAATAAAAATAGTCTAACAAAATTGATAATGCTACTTTTTATCCCAGTGATACAAAAAATATTTCAATAAATTAGTATTCATTTATTTTTCATGTTGGAAATATGGTATCCTGGTTAAAGGAGTTTTTTACTTTTCCATTCTAAAATGTAAAGAGTGGTCCTTTGCCAAGGCCCAACATGTAGACTTGGGCCCTTGATTTTATCCCCTCTTATTTTTTCTGAAAGCTTGCCAATCTTCATCTATCATTTTCAGTATCTTCATAGCCCTGTCTTTCTCTGCTGCCTACAAACATGCACAGTTTCCCCTATACTTAAAAAAACCTTTCATTTCATTCCACATCTTTCAAGCTACATATAAACTATATATCTCATGTATTTTAGTGCAGTGGACTGAGCACTGGACCTGGAGTCACACAGGACACCCGGGTCTGAGTCCTAGTTATATCACTTAGGAGACAGCAACTGTGGGATCTTTCAGCTCAGAGACAGTAAGAGGGCCATATAACTGGTAAGAAAGACATTGTGGGGGACCCTGAGCTGACACTGAGCCAGACCTTCTTCATCACCCATATACAGTTCTGGGTCATGGTTCCAAGGTGCAATGGAGTGTTTATGAGCAGTGACTGGGGAGCAGGGGCTTGGTTGCAGTCCCAGAGCAGAGTACTAGCATTTATGGCTGCAGGAGAACAGGGAACCTAGGCACAGTTTCAAGGCATAGAGAAGCACTAGTGCTTGCAGCTATAGAGAAACAGGAACCCTTCCTGGGTAAAGACCAGAGTACAGACCAGGAGAGTAGTGACCATACTTCTCCCTAGATGATACCACCTTGGAAGTACCAAAAATTTAGATATCCAGAACTAGTTCTGAAAATAGTAGAGCAAAAAAGCTTGAAACTCAGGATATTGTCTACCCATCCCCAAGTGAGCAGAGCCAAACTTTAAAGTCAAGAAATAAGCTAGGAAAAATGAGAAAAGAATCTGACCATAAAAAGCTACAATGATGGCAGGGAAGGTCAAGCTACAAACTCAGAACAACAACATGAAATCAAGTACGAGCAAAGCCTCAATGGAAAAAAAATGCAAAGTGGACACAAGCACAACAAGGATGCCTGGAAGAGATAAAGAGATAAGAGTGATAGAGGAAAAACTGGGAAAAGAAATGAGTGATGCAAGAAAATTATGAAAAGAGAATTAACAGCTTGGTAAAAGATTAGGCACAAAAAAAAATACAAAGAAATACCTTAAAAAACAGAATTGGCCAAATGATAAAAGAAGAACAAAACTACATGAAGAAAAGAACTTAAAAATGAGAATGGGCAAGTGGAAGTTAAGGACTCCATGAAATATCAAGAAACAAAGTCAAAAGAATGAAAAAATAGAAGAAAACGTGAAATATCTCACTGGAAAAACAACTGACATGGGAAAATAGATCAAAATGAGATAATTTAAGAATTATGCATCACCTGAAAGTCATGATTAAAAAAAAAAAGGATCATAGACATCTTATTTCAAGAAATGATCAAAGAAAACTGCCTTGGTATCCTAGATCCAAAGGGCAAACTAGAAATTAAAAGAATTCACCATTCACCTCCTGAAAGAAACTCCAAAACAACAACCCCCAGGAAGATTATAATCAAATTCCAGAGCTCCCAGGTCAAGGAGAAAATATTGCAAGCAGCCAGAAAGAAAACATTCAAATATCATGGAGCCATAGTTAGAATCAGACAAGATTTAGTGGGTTCCATGTTAATGGAGCAGAGGAGTTGGAATATGATATGCTGTAAGCAAAGGAGCTAGGATTACAACCAGGAATAATTCACCCAGAAAAACAGCATAATCCTTCAGGGGGAAAATAAAAATGGACATTTAATGAAATAGGGGACTTTCAAGCATTCCTGATGAAAATCTGAATAGAAAATCTGACATTCAACCACAAAATCTGACTGAAAAGCATAAAAAAGATAAACATAAAAGAGAAATCATAAAGGACTTAAAACATAAAGGACATAAAGGACAAGAAAACTTAAATTGTTTACATTCCAATATGGGAGAATGATATAAGTAACTCCTAATGACTTCATCATTATTAGAGAAGTTAGAAAGAGTATACATAGAGGGCACAATTTGAGTCGGTCATGTTAGGATGATCTCAAAAAAAAAAAAGATGAAGGGGTGAGAAAGAGAGAGACATTGGGGGAAGGGAGAGAGAGAATGGGGAAAATTATCTCATATAAAAGGGGCACAAAAGGAAGAGCTTTTACAGTAGAGAAGGAAACGGGGTAGGGGTGGGCTAGTGGGCAACACTTGAACCTCACTCTCACTGAAATTGGTTCAAAGAAAGAATATATACACACACACACTTTCAGTTGAGTATAGACATCTATTTTGTCAAACAGGGAGGTGGGAAAGGAAGGATATAAAAGAAAGAGGGGTAGCAAAATAGATTTTGAGGAGGGACAGAGTAAAGAGAGACAGAGAGAGAGAGAGAGAGAGAGAGAGAGAGAGAGAGAGAGACAGAGAGAGAGAGAGAGAGAGAGAGAGAGAGAAGGATAAACAGAAGAAAATAGGATGGAGGGAAATACAGAGTAGTCAGAACCGTGAATGTGAATGGCATGCTCATCCACAAAAAAGGAAGTGGATAGCACAATGGATTGGAAACCAGAAATCCAACAATTATCGTTTATAAAAAACACACCTGAAAACAGAAAGACACACACAAAACTAAAATAAAGGGCTGGTGCAGAATCTATTATGCTTCAGCTGAGATAAAAAAGATAGGAGTAGCAATCACGATTTCAGAGAAAGCAATAGTAAAAATAAACCTAATTAAAAGAGCTAATCAGGGAAACTACATTTGCTAAAAGGTATCACAGACATTACAGTAATATCAAAATTTTCTCAAATATATATGGAACTGAATCAAATTGATAAAAATAAGAGCTATTCCCCAATCGATAAATGGTCAAAGGATAAGAACAGGCAGTTTTCAGAAAAAAAAAGTTAGACTATAGCATCATAAGAAAAAATGCTCTAAATTGCTACTGATTAGAGAAATACAAATTAAGACAACTTTGAGGTACCACCTCACACCTATCGGATTGGATAATATGACAGAAAAAGGAAAATGACAAATGTTGGAGGGGATATGGAAAAATAGGTACACTAATGCACTGTTGGTAGAGCTGTAAATTGGTCCAATCATTCTGACAAACTATTTGGAACTATGTCCAAAGGGCTTTAAAATTGCATATTCTTTGACCTAGCAATACCACTACTAGGCCTGTATCACAAAGAGATAAAAGAAAAAAGGCCTATGTGTAAAAAAATATTATAATAACTCTTTTTGTGGTACCAAAGAATTGTAAATTGCAGGGATACCCATCAACTGGGGAATGACTAAACAAGTCGTGTTTTTCCAAACAAGATGGAATACTATTACACTATAAGAAATGATGGTTTCAGAGAAACCTGGGAAGACCTATATGAACTGATGCACAGTGAAGTGAGCAGAAGCTGGAGAACACAGTCACAGCAATATTGTAATGATGATCAATTATGAAAAACCTGGCTACTCTGATCAAGACGATTATCAAAGAAAATTCCAAAGGACTCATAATGAAAAATATCATCTACCTCCTAAAAGAAAACTGATGAACTGAGGACAAATTGAAGTATGATTTCTTCATGCCTTTTTGTGATGTGGAAATGTTTTACATGATTTTCACATGTATAAATGATATAATATTGCTTGTCTTCTCTAGAGGGAGGTAGGATTTGGAATGCAAAATTTAAAAAAAAAATAAAGATCTTAAAGATTAAGAAAAAAAGAAGACAGTAGTGGTATGATCTTGAGCAAGTAACTTCTTATCCATGGTCATTAGTTACCTTATGTGTAAAAATGGGCAGGAGAAGGTGGGAGAGTGGCATGGAACTAGATCTTTTAAGAGTCTTCCTAGATCTAACTGGAAAATTAGTCCAATGATAGATTTATCAATCTATCCAGTTGGGGGGGAGGAGATATAGATGGGAAGTTTTGGGCCATGCTCAGCTGCCTAAATGGAAATATCCAAAGACTGTGATACTGGCTGATTCCAAGAATAATAAATCATTTGGGATCCCACTTATATACCATTTAATATTTTACATAACCATTATTATAACAGCTACCACTTACACAGCAGTTTAAGGTTTATCGTTGTTGCTGAGTCATTTCAGTAATGTCTGACTTTCCATGACCCCATTTGGGGTTTCCTTGGCAAAGCTACTGGAGTGTTTTAGCCATTTCCTTCTCTGCTTACTTTACAGATGAGGAACTGAGACAAACATAGCTAGTAAGTGTCTGAGGCCATATTTGAACTCAGGTCCTCCTGAATCCAGAGCTACTCACTGTACTACCCAGTTGCCCCAACTTCAAGGTTTACCAAGTGTATTAAATATATTATCTTATTTGATCCTCACAACAATATTGTGAGATACATGCTATTATTATCACCATTTTACAGATGAGTAAACTGAGGCAGACCAATTGCATCTCTAAAAAGAAACTGTGAGTCATCTTTCCATTTAAGTGTACTTTCTGCTGCTCTTTTCATCTATATCAAGAACGTAAGATGTATATGATTCAGTTATTCCACTGGTAGGCCTACTTTCAGGTCCCTGGATTTGTAGCTCACATTTAAGGTACAAACAATTAACTTAATGCTTAAAGACACTCTAACAACTCTGTGATTCTTGGTACCTTTTGCACCACTATGTAGCTTTGTAAGGGAACAGTACTAACGACCACTCTGTGCTGATTCAGGAAGTGGGATTATGGGATTGGGGTGAGGGAACAAGCATTTAAACAGCACCTACTACTTGCCAGACACTGTGCTAGCTGTTTTTACAAACATTCCTTCCTTTGATCCTCATAACCCCCTGGAAAGTAAACGCTATTATTATCCCCATTTTACAATTTAGGAAACCGAGGCAGACGGCGATCAAGTGACTTGCCCAGGGTTACATAATGAGGGGATCAAGTGACTTGCCCAGGGTTACATAATGAGGAAGACTTTGAAGCCAGATTTGAACTTGGGTCTTTTTGACTCCAGGCCCAGCCACCAGCAGAGAAAAAACATAGAGGGGAAAAAAGCTGAGTTTGACCAAGAACAGAGACCTAAATGAAGCTCGAACTAGATATGGCACAATTTTGAGGGCCATGGAGATTTATTCTCGAGATATCTGAAAATGAGGATGGTATCAAAGATGTGGAAATAATCTTGGGGGGAAAAGGTGAAACTGAACAGGAAGGCATAAATGCCTAAGTGTGGGTTCAAGAAATCAAATACACAAGTATACAAGCCAGAAGAAGCACGGGTAGACAATAATTCTCATGAAAAAGACCTACAGGTTCTAGAGGAGAGGGAGTCCAACATCACAGCCAATATCATGGGCTGATAAAGCTGCCTGCATGAAAGGAAGTCTAACGTCCTCAGTGATAAAGCCAAGAATTCCAAAATGTCCTACAGGCTTCAGGACACACCCACGGAGCACTGTGTTCAGATCCTGGTGCCACATTTTAGCATGGTCACTGACAAACTAGGGTGAATAGAAGAGTATGACCAAAAGGAAACCAGGTCACACCAGAAAAAGTGGAGGCACCTATTATAGATGGACTTTTCAAGGAGTTTAGCTACAAAAGGCAGAAGAGAGATAGATAGGAAGGATCAAGTGAGGGTTTTTTCCCAGATGGGAGGAGACATGAGAATGTTTGTAGGGTACAAGGAACGAACTAGTAGACAGACATATAGTTCCTGTGTGTGTCTTGATAGGTAAATTCCCAAGTATTTTATACTATCTCTAGTTATTTACGTGGAATACCCTTTACTATCTCTTTCTGGATTTTGTTGGTAACATACAGAAATGCTAATGATCTGCATGGGTTTAAAATCCTGCTACTGTGCTAAAGTTAACTGTTTCAAATAGTTTTTTAGTTGACTCTGTTTTTCTAAGTAATCCATCATATCACCCGCAAAAAGAGACAATTTAGTTTCCCCTTTGCCTATGCTTATTCCTTCAACTTCTTTTTCTGATTAGTTTATTTCTATTTCTTAGCTAATATTTCTAATTCTATATTTAATCCTATATTGAATAGTAATGTAATAATGTGTATCTTTGCTTTACTTCTAATATCATTGGAAAAACCTCTAGCATATCCCCATTACAAATAATACTGGCTTTTGGTTTTGATAGGTAATACTTATGATTTTAAAGAAAGACCCATTTATTCCTATGCTTTCTAATGTTTTAAAGTTTGCCTTTTTAAAAAATTTTCTGGGAAGCAGTTGGAGTTAAGTGACTTGCCCAGGGCATACAGCTAGTAAATGTCAGAGGCAGAATTTGAACTCGGGTCCTCCTGACTCTAGGGCCAGTGCTCTATCTACTGCATCACCTAGCCTGGCCCTAAGTTTTTGTTGATATTTTCTCTTTCTTATATCACTACCCTATATATCCCTTTCTTTTCCCCTCCCCTTTTCCGAGTTATCCAGTATGTCAGCATTTTTTTAGAGGAAAAAAAAGTCAGCACAATTGATCAATACATTGAAAAAATACAAAAACGTGCAACACGTAACACCTGTGGACTTCTCACCTCCACAAAGAGGTAGGGAGGGGGTGTTTTCTCATATCTGTATTCAAATCCCATTTGATCTTTATAATTTTACGTTTACTTTTATTTTTGAGGGCTGTTTTTTTTTTCCATTTACATTGTTTTAGTTACTGTGTATGTTATTTAGTCCCTAAAGACTGCCCTGGGTATCCCCAAAGTCTGGGATGCTGCCTCATTGTTGTCATTACCTTTAATGAAATTATTTATGGCTTCTATATGTTCTTTTACCTATCCATTTTTTAGGATTAAGTTATTTGGTCTCCAATTAATTTATAATCTTTGCTTGAAAGATCCTTTGCTAAATATATTTTTATTGCATTATGTTCTACAAAAGACGTATTTAATAGTTCTGCCTTTTTGCATTTGTTTATGATTTTTTATGCTCTAATAATACAGTAAATTTTTGTGAAGGTAGCATGCACAACTGAGAATAGGTATAGCCCCATTCCTATTCAACATTCACAAAAAGTACATCATATTTAACACTTGTAAAATTCTATTCAGGTCTTTAATTTCTTTTTTGTTTAGATTTATCTAGCTCAGAGACAGGGTAAATCGAAGCTCCCTTACTATTATAGTCTATTTCCCTTCATTTCCCACCAGCTACATATATTATTATCTTTTCATTATTCCTCCTACCCCAGGAAATCCATCACTAGGAAATCTCATTATCCTGAAAAACTGACTCTATCTGGTACTCACATCTCATCAGTAACCTTTACCCCTCTGACTGGAAGGCAGCACCATGGGCCCCAGGGCCTCTATCTAAGAAAAGAACTTGGCTTGGTCTTCTATTTCTTACTAGCTACCCTGCTTTTGGAATTCTCCAGCATGTTCCTGTGCTGGATACCTTCCCTCTACCTCAGCTTCCTTTTGTGTGCCATCTTCTCTCCCTAAACTGTAAGCTCCTTAAGCATGGGGACTTTTAAAAAACTTGTATTTGTATCTTTAGCACAAAGCACGGTGCTGGCACTTAATAAATGTTTACTGATTAACTGACCAGTTTTCCTTGCAACTCATTTAACTGTTCCTCTAAGAATTTAGATGCTGTGCCATTTGGTGCATTGATGCTTAGAAATGGTAACAGATTATGCTCTAGCCCATTATTTTAACTGAGTGTATTTTCCTGTTTCAAGTGTTTTTTTGGTAAACAACATATTGCTGGATTCTGGTTTCTAATCCATTCTGCTACCCTCTTAAGTTTCATGGGTGAATTCATCCCATTTACTCTCACAGTTACGATTTTTAATTGTGCTTTTCTCTCCGTCCTGATCTTTTATGCTTGTCCTACTTTGTTTCCTGTCCCCTATAAATGGATGCTTAAAATATTTTATTAGTTTAGTGAAGAAACATAAGACCATTTTTTAAAAGAAAAAATCCTGTTTAAGTTTTACACACACACACACACACACACACCCTCCCCCCCTAAAAATCAAACTTTACCTCTCTTAATTCTGCCATCTCTTGCAAGGCAGCCATGAGGTGGTACACTGGTCACAAAAATTGGCAATTCACCACTCTTACTTCCTCTGCCTCCAGCCACTGTCATTCCAAGGGATTCATGTGGTTCCTTCTTTACAGTAATGTGCTTTTCTTGGCATGTAACACATTGGGAAAGATCCTACAAGGAAAAATATCCACTAACTAGTAAAAAATAAAAAGTAGAAAAATAGGCTTTTCTTGTATTTAATTGACAAAATACACTTAAATATAATTTTAGCACAGCATTTACAAAGTCATATCATCCCCCTCTCTTCCCCTTGAGGGACAGAAGGTATTTAAGGTCCAGATATATTTAAAATGTTCAGTGCTTAAAAGAGACAAGTTTTGAAAAATTATTTTGAATTCAAACACCATTTGAAATTAGCATTTCAATATAGAAAATAAGGCAGACAATGAGGATGGTACATGAAAACAAGAATCTACTAGTTTGTTTTTCTTCTTTATAATAAATTCAGTATGTTACTTTCGAAGCTGCTCTCATATGTATTTCTATGAGCTTCAGTCTGCTTTGTTCTGTGCATTTAAAAAAATGCTGAAAAACCCTCTTTCATTTTTTCTTTATTTTTTTCTATTTTATAAACAGTTGATTTAATATTAGAATTAGTTGCTTTCTGAAAGTTTTATAAAACTCACTTGTAAAACAACCTGGTCCTAACACTTTTTTCTTTAGGAGTTTCTTTATGACTTGTTCAATCTCCTTTTCTGAAACTGAGTTATTTAAATTCTCTATCTCTTTTTCTGTTAATTTTGGGTATTGTGGTAAATATTTGTACAGTTCATCTAAGTTATCAATTTTATTGGCATACAATTGGAAAAAATTATAATTTATATTTTCCTTTGTTTCATCTTTATTTCTTGTAAAATTTTTTCAATTTTAATAATTAATAATGACTTTGCATTCTAGTAAAAGATCAAATTAGCTAAACATTTATCAAATTTTATTAGTTTAAAAAAACCTTATTTTTATTAACTCAACAGTTTTTTATCCTTTCGATTTGGTTATCTCTCTCTTAATTTTCAAAATTTCTGTTTTGATGTTTAGTGCTTGGGTTTTTTTTTAATGTGCTGCTTTTCTATTTTTAAAAAGCTGCATGTCCAATTCTTTGATCTACTCCTTCACTCTTGTTTTACTAGTATTATCTGCTACTTTGATTACAATTACATAACCCTGCATAAATTATCACACTAAGCTTTGGTTGAAATATGAGAAGCTCATTTAGAGTTTCCAAATGAAGTAATTGTGGAAATTGAGTGAACCACACTGACTACATTACTATTTGATTATGGGTTTTGTCTTGTGAGAAAACTTTATTGCATTGTTTGAACCTAGCCTTGTCTGGCTGGGAAGCTGGACAACTTCTGCTTGTTGCCTGGAGAACCTTAACTAAGGACCTAGGTTATGCTGACCAAAAAAATCAAGTAAGATGCGAAGATTGATTCAAGTAGTTTTCTCACAATTATACGTCTCAAATAACCTAGAGACGTCTCATCTGAAAACTGGCCTTATACAGGTCAGTTATTGTTTCCATATTCCTTTGACTGAATACAACACTTGGAGGAAGTAGGGCGCCTCTTTTTCTGATTTCAGGAAATTGTATCTGTTCACTCTCCCCCTTCAACTTGGAAAGTCCCTCATCTTTCCTCCAATTAGAAATCAGATTACCTAATTTTTGTATCCTGGTTAATTGTTTTCTTTTAATTAATCAGTCTAATTTGATTGTTTTTAATATAAAAAAAAATCTGCCTTTACTCTGTATTCAGGGTCTTTGGACTGACTGGGGAGTCCACTGACCTGTTTATTATACCTGTTTTTGCTAGTATATCACACAGCCTGGATTGTTTTCTCAGTCATTATCCATCACACAATATAAAATCCTATTTTAAAGATCTGAAATCGTAAAGTTGACTAGCCATTTGATTCTATTTAGCTCACATTAAAAACTGCTGTCTCAGTTGTTTGATTAACCAATTGCTCATTTAGAAAGAAATAACAGGGAAGAATTATTTAAATAGATAAGGCATATAGTTTTATCTTTTCATACAGGAAAGATATAGCTTTAACCTACTCTGAAACCCCACTGTAAGAGATAACTCATTGTTCTATACCAATTCTCCTCTGTAGCCTTGAAAGCTCTTCACAATACCTAATGGCTGAGCTCATTTCACAATGCTCTCTCTCCTGCACTCGTTCCAGTGTGTGGCACTTGCTGTCCCCTGTATGGGACATTTCACCTCCCACCTAACTACCTTTGCACACCACGCATGCTTTCAATCTGCTGCTTCCTACTCACTTCCCCATTAGATCACAGAATTAGAGCCAGAAACAATCATATAGGTCACCCAGAACAAATTCCTTATTTTACAAAGGAGAAACTGAGGCCCAAAAGGTTAAATAACCTGCCCATGGTCACACAGAGAGCAAGTAGCATGGCCAGGATTTAAACAAAGGTCCCTTGCCTTCAAATCCAATGCTCTTTCCTCCACCCCCACCTCTAAAAGGTTCTAGCTTCCTCTCAGCTCACCTCACTTGCCCTTCTACACTAAGCCTTTCCTCAGCCACCAAACAGAAGCGTTCTGACCCTGCCCCTAAAACATCTATCTATCATAGTTATTCATCTGTTGCATTCCCTTGATAGAATGTAAATCCCTTCCCTAGAGCATAATTTTTTTTTGTCTTTGTATCCCCAATGCCCAATATAGTAACTTGCATGGTGGGTGCTTAATAAACGATTGTTGAATAAATACCAAAGAAATACTTCAAATGAGACCTAGTGATGGACTAATAGAGCACAGTGTAGTGCACAGAGAGCTGAACATCAGAGAGCAGTGGACAAAATTAGAAAGCACTGGGCTGGACACCCTGACACTTCAGACACTTACTAGCTGAGTGACACTGGCTAAGTCACTTCAGTTTCAGTATACTCACATGCTAACCCTCCCCATCAAAAAATAACAATAGCACCTCCCTTACTAGACTGTTGTGAGGATCAAATGAAGCAATACCATAAAAGTGAGAGATCATCTAAGGACCTTTCCAGCTCTAAATCTACAATCTTCTGACCACCATCAAAGTCACCAGTCTCATCTATCACCTGAGGACCAGCCTTGCCAAGTTATCAGAGGCAAGGAAATTGTTTTGCCACAGTAACTGTGGAGTATCCTCTACTAAAGTATAGGGAGGTACTGCAGAGGAATAAATCAAAGATCTCTGAAGAACAGGGGGAATGTAGTAAGAGTATCTTATCCAAGGCAGTGGGGAGGAGTCCAATGAAGTAATGTGTAAATCAGACTAGGTCTTTGGTAAAATTTGGGTTATAGAGAAATCCTCAGTTTGACAGGGGAAGCTATCCTAAGGAGTCAGCTAACATGGCGGTAAATATTCCAAAGACATTTAGAAAATAATAGCAAGGAAGATAAGGGGGAAAAAACACACATTACTTTTGATAAATATTCCTTAGTCAAGACAATGTTCTCTCATATTCACAAACCTCATGATGACATCGTGGATAGGATAAATATAATTATGATTTTAAAAATACCACCCAAAGCAATGAAATATAATGACTATTTGCTTCTAGACATTAATTATAACGTTACCTTTAGTGATATCATAACATGATTTGTATTTAAGAGCACTAATAACACCTTCCTGAACTTAGCACCAGGGCAAAGTGGACCTGCTGCCTTATCTATATAGTCTGGAGTACGATTTACTTTTGTACTTGAATACTTTTAAGGGGCTAAAAACACCTTTTCATTTATTTTCTCTCTTAAAAAAAATTTTTAAAGATGTCTTTTGTTGTTATACCTGTCATTTCTTCGGCCTCCTTGAGAATCCTCTCTTGTGGCAAAGAAAAATAAGTAAGCAAAACTATCCCATCCAGTGACTTCATCTTGTCATGTTCTGTCTTGGCAGTCCCCTGCCTCTGGGCCATAAGGAGGTAGGTTTCTTCAGGTTATTTGGAACCAAACTTTAGTGATTTCGTCATTTGCTTTGCTGTAGTCACTATGGAATTTTTTTAAAATTCTACTTTTTTTTTTTGCATCAGTTCACACAAATCTTTCCAAATTTGCCAAATTCTTCATGTTCATAATTTCTTATCACATATTATGATTTTTTCAACCATTCTCCAATCTATAGGCATGTATTTTGTCTCCAGCTCTTTTCTACCATGGAGAATACTACTATGGTTATATGCTCAGATTAAAAACTTTTCTTGCATAATCCAAATTGATATCTAGCTCTATCAATGTATTCATATTTAATATGCTTTCTTGGGGAACGGCTAAACAAACTGTGGTACATGAATGTAATGGAATATTACTGCTTTGTAAGAAACAAAGAATTTGGTGAAGACAGAAGTGTGGACTTCGATGCAGTGATGCAAAGTAAAGTCAGCAGAGCCAGGAAATCCCTGGAGGTGAAATCCTGGACTATAATACAAATGTTACAAAACAATAACAATCAAAACTGAATTCTCTGAAATTACAATTACCAAGCTTAGGCTCAAAGAAGGAATATGAGAAAACACCTCCCCTGTTTCTTTGTATATGTGGAAGATAATGAGTGTGAAACATTGCATAGGAAAAAAAAACTTTTTCAATGTGGATTATTTAAAATTGCTTTTAAAAAAACCCTTTTATTGTAGTAGTTCAACAGTTCTCTAGGACAGAGTAGAGGGATGGATACAGTGGAATATGTAAGGTGATGTTAAAAAAAAGGTATCAAAAACTTACTTAAAAATTAACAACCTCCACCTCTCTTCCCAAGCAACAGTTGTAAAAGTTCTTTCATTCTCTCAAAAATTCTTTTAATATGACCTTAAACTTGAGATTATGTATTTATTTTGAGCTATTTGTGCTACAGGTATGGTCTGAACCTAATTTCTGCTAAATGTTCTTGACTTTTTCCAAATAATTCTTGCTGAAAATGGGGGTCTTCTCAAAGTAATTCATATTCTTGGGTTTATCAAACAGTAGGTTATTGTTTTTAATTGCTTCTGTTTCTTATCTAATCTGTTTCACCAATCTACTTTTGTTTTTTTTAAGAAGCACCAAATAGTTTTGATGGCTACCACCTTATAACATAGTTCAAAGCCTGATAATGTTATGCTTCCA